TTTCCCCTCTCGGCAAAGCTTGCTACCGTTTCCGATGACTGGTTTCTGCCGGAAGTTGCAGCAGCACTGTGAAAGACGTTTGGAAATTTTGCTGCATGAAACCATTGGCTACCGTTTCCAATTTCTCCTCTCTCGGAGCTTACTACCGTTTTTCGATGACTGGTTTCAGCCGGAAATTGCAACAGCACTGTCTCTGCTTCATCTCAATCCATCTGTTTACCTTTGCCGATGACTGCCTGCCAACTGGTTTGGCTGGGCCGGTTCCACCAGCGACACAGATGGCACCGCTTACAGGGGGTTTGGGCGCATGATGCCACCGATGATTATTAGTATTACGATCCAAAAAAGTCCACCACTCAAGCACCGAAATATCTCCTCTCCCCCGTGTCTTTCCCCTGTCTTCTTTCTCTACAGTCTAACACACATTATAATGCGGGGCCCACTTCTTACATTGCTTTTTTATATTTCAAGTCATTGATTAATGAAGGCCGTCGATTAGACCTGTTCATGGGTCGGGTGGCCCCCGATCCGGCCCCCGGACGGGCTTGAACATGTTTATACGCCTTCGGGCTTAAATTCGGGATAAAAAGTCTAGTTCGTAATAAATTTGAGCTAGGCTCGGGTTTTGCCAAAATAGCCCGGTTCGGTTTGACCTAAAATTAGACTTAAAATGAGTTATGTGATTATATGTCCATTTAAATAGGAAAAAAAAACAATCTGAATTTTTAATTCTAATTTGAATAGGGAAAATTGTAATTTTTTTATTAGGTTGGGCTTCAGGCTCGGGCTCGGGCTTCGGGCTTTTTATCAGGGCCAGGCTCGGGCTTGGGCCTAGCGTATTTCCATTAATGATGAGTAAAAGCTCGGCCCGAGCCGGCCCATGAACAGGTCTACCGTCGATGCCCAAAAAAAGAAAAAAAAACCCCGAAAGTCGTTCATACAGTGAACGATTATAGATGCTTCAAGGTTCAAGGTATTGGTAACACCAAGTGTATCGGAAAGGCAATTTTAAGAGACGTATCGGGATATGCCTTGGATACGCACGCGTATTGGAGAAAAACTAAGATACGCATAGATACATTTGAAAACACTATAAATACTTTAATAAATCATAAAAATATATCAATAACACTAAATATAAG